CTCTACGATTTTTGAATATCCCTCCTGTTGAGGGACACGCCCGACTTCTTTTTGAATCTCCCTCCTGCAGTTTTGAATGCCCCTCCTTTATAAAGATCCCTCCGGCTGATTACTGGTGCCCGTGTGCCTGCTTCTTTTTTGCTCCCCCTCCGGGAGCTTCCCGGGCCCTCCCCGTGCGCGCGGCGAGCCGAGGCCCCGCGGGGGGGCCCTCTGGGGCGGCGCTCTGCGGCCTCGGGCCCGTCTCCCGGGGGCTGCGCCTCCGGCCTCCTCTCGTGGGCGGCCCACAAACAAGGGGGGCAGCGGCAGATCCGGGGCAGCTGCGCTGCAAGTGTACTGCGCCCGAGAATCGCACCGCACTGTCTTGCAGCTGATGCACTGCGCGCGAAAATCCAGCAACACATCTGCGCCCCGGAATGTTTTGCGCGCCCCAGATGTACTGCAACCCCACAAATAAGTTGCACCACCCCCTTGTCGCTGGACCCCCTGTTGGGTCAACCCGACTCCTGCAGGGGGAATCAATCGGCGCGAGGCTGGCCGTGCGCGTGGGGGCGGGGGAAGACTGGACCTAAATGCTGTGTTTCGTGCTGTTTTCGTTTTATGTTTCTCGTTTTGCTCTGCCTATTTTCCTGTATACCTCCCTGCCAAACCGAAGCACACATCACAGCCGAAGTCCAGCATGACAGCGTTTATAGGTCCAGCCCTGGGGGCCGGGGGGGAGGCCCCGCAGAGGCCCCCCCCCACCCCCATGGGGGGGGGGGGGGGGCTACGCGGAGGGCCCTCGCACCGCGGTGCTCGGACCTCTGGCCTCGCTCCTTCGCCCCCCCCCCTTCGAACGTCTCGAGGATCCTCGGAAGGGTGCGCTGGCGCCAGCGTCTGCCTACCCACCGACGCCCGGCCACACGACGCATAGGCGGTATTGCGATAGCCGCCTCAGGCCGAGCGGGGTAGACACGCCTTGGGCCAACTTTTTTGATTCGCGGGTCGAGAGCGCACCTCTTCCGGTCGAAGCTAAGCGGACCGCGCGAAGCTTGAATTAACCAGAGATGGGGGAGGAAAAAGGGGGGGCGCAGCCTCAGAACGAGGCCGGGAGGAGGCCTTGGGCCAACACGCGTCCGGAGGATCCTCGAACCCCGCGTCTCCCTCGAGCCTCGAGCCTCGCTGCCGCGAGCTCCTCGGGCCTCCTCGCTGCATCTCGAGCCTCCTCCCCCCGAGCCTCGGAGCCTCGGAGCTCGGACCCCGCCCTCCAGGCGCTCCAGGGCCCAGCTCCGCCTCGGGAGGAGGACCACGCGAGGCGAAACACGAGAGAGAGAGAGAGATGCCCACCTTGCACACGGCAGTGATCGAGCCTGGACGTCGATATGGGGGCCAAGGTGAGAGGGACGAGCCTCGACCCCGATCCTCGCTCCCTCTTGCCTGAGGGGCAGGGATTCATCGCCTACAGATCGCCGATAGCTCTCTGACGGCGTCCTCGCACGCTCCTGGGCGGGGTGGGGCTATCAGACCCCAATCGGCGATCAGTGGGCGATTGGGGACCGATGCGTTGCCCCCCTGCGTCCCCCTAACCCAGACCCCTCACGTCACGATTTGTTTCAAAACTTGGCGGTGCGCACAAGGGGGTGGAGGGAGGGGGGAGGGCTTCTTAGAAGGGGGCTGCTTGTTAGAAGGCCCCGGCCTTACATCTATAGATAAGGCCCGCGCCTTCTAAGAAGCAGGGGTGCTTCTAAGAAGCCTCCCCCCTCCCCGTACCCCCCTCTGCGCGTGGCTGACCATTCCCCAGGACCAGTTTTTCATGCCGAAGTGTTAGTTGACGGCCCCGACGTCCGGTGAGGGCCCCCAGAGGCCCAAAATAGCGAAAAATCTCCCGTCGTGATTTTTGGTCACGGCTCGAAGGGGCCTGGCAGGGCGAGAAGCAAACACCCAGAAGCACGAGGAGGACGCGCGACCGCAGCTTCGCGGAGTCCGCGGGGAGCCCAGCTCCAAGCGCGCAGGCCAATGCTGGGGGGCCCCCCGTTGGGCCCACCCCAAAGGTCGAGGCCGGCGAGAAGGTCTGGTTCAAGAAGGGCGATTTCGACGGCTGCTGGGGCGCCTCAGGTCGTGCTGGAGTGCCTGAGGTCGGGCTGGGAGGACCTCGAGTCCAGCGAAAGCAGCCTTGTCCAACGAACCCTTCTGGCAGCCTCCGACAAGGGTCACTCAATCGTTGATCCTCCTCCCCGTCGTTGCCCGGCGCGGCCCTCCCCGCGGCCTCCCGCCGCGGGGTGGCCCCGCGGCCTCGGGGCCCGCGGCAAAAGGGAGCCGGGGCTCTGCAAAAGCGGCGGCGCGTGCGGGCGGAGGCTTGGTGATGATGATGGTGATGATGATTGTGGTGATTGTGGTGGATCGCTTGTGATGGTGGTGATGATGGTGGTGGTGATGATGGTGGTGACGATGGTGGCGGTAATGGTGGCTATGAAGATGGCGATGAGGACGGTGAATGTGATGATGATGCTGATGGTGATGATAATGATGACGAGGATGAGGATGAGGATGAGGATGAGGATGAGGATGCTGATGATGGTGATGGTGATGGTGATGATCGTGGTGAGTGTAGTGAGAATGATGTTGATGATGATTACGATGATAATACGAGCGCTGCCGATGATATTGATGATGGTGCTTGTGATGGTTATGATGATGATGCTGATGGTGATAACAATGGTACTGGTTATGACGATGATGATGACGATGACGGCGGCGGTGATAGTGATAATGATGATGTGCTGACAATGCTGATTGTGGTGATGATGGTAGTGCTGGAGGTGATGGTCATGGTGAAGATGATGATGATGATGGTGATGATGGTGATGCCGGTACTGATGGTGATGATAATGACGAGCTGACGATGACAATGATGATGAAGGTGCTGGTGACGGTGTGCATGATTGTAGTGGTGAATACGGCGATGGTGATCATGATAATGGTGATAACGATCGTGGCGATTATGCCGATGGTGAGCATGGTGATGGTGATGATGATGGTAATGGTGATGGTAAGGGTGTTGACGATCATGGTGGTCGTGACCATGACTGTGGTGATGGTGGTGATGATGCTGGTGGTGATGATGATGGTGCCAATGATAATGACGGTGATGGTGGTGAAGACGAGGCTTGTGAACATGATGCTGATGCTGATGGTGACGTTAATTGCGGGAAAGGTGGTGAGAAAGATGAGGACAGTTCTGATGGTATGATTGTTGACGATGGAGCTGGCGATGATGATGCTGATGAGGATGGTAATGATAATGATACTGACGATGACGATGCTGATGATGATTGGGATGGTAACGATGACGATGACGATGACGATGTCGATGACGATGATGATGATGCTGACGAGGATGATAATGATGATGATGCTGATGATGATGGTGGTGACGATGACGGTGATGATGATGATGATGATGTTGATGATGATGTTGATGGTGATGGTGATGATGGTGGTGATGAAGGTGGTGGTGGTGGTGGTGACGATGACGCTGACGATAACGATGATGATAACAACGACGATGATGACGACGATGATGATGGTGGCGATGATGATGCTGATGATGATGCTGCTGCTGATGATGATGATGACGATGATGACGATGATGATGAATCGGCGAACTGTTGGAGATGAGACCCTCGCCTGGAGGCAGGCAAACTAGGAGACTGACGAGGCGAAGCGCATACAGAGACAGGCAGGCCAGACAGGAGGGGGCGGGGGGGATAACAAAGGGAAACAAGAGAGGGGCGGGGAATGGGGGGCAGAAGAGGCGCATAGCCGGGGGCTGCCATGTTACCCCAGCGCGGAGACCCGACCCAAAGGGGACCTGAGGCGAGCTGCTCTGGCTGCGTGACCGGTAATTCGGCCCCCATAGGTGGCGGGGGGATAGGTGGCGGAGGAGGAGGAGGAAGAGGAGGCACAGGAGAAGGAGGAGGAGGAGGAGGAAGAGGAGGAGGAGGAGGAGGAGAGGGAGGAGGAAGGGGGAGCGAACGGGGAAGAGTAACGAACGGGGCATATTGGGGCCAACAGAAACAAGGCAGGGCGACGACAGGGGAGGGGCAGAGAACGGGGAAGGGGGCACTCCGCAACAAGGTGATCCAGGCCCGAAGTGCCCCCACCCCCTCGCGCCGCCGTGGGGCTCGCTGGGCCTCGCGGGGAGTGCTCGGGCGGACCTGCTCTCCACTTTCCTCGGGCTGGGCGCCACGCGAGGGGGCCTTGGCGAGGAGCCGGGTCTGGGGCTGCCGGAGGTGGTCGAGGCCCCAAGGGTGCCCCCCGATGGGGGAGAGGCCGGAGCAGCACCAGCGAGACGAGGATGAGCAGTTTATGGGGACAGCGGCGAGGAGCAGTCCTCCATCCCTTCCTCCTTCTCCTCCTCCTCCTCCGACGACGAGAAGGAGGATGAGGATGAGGATGACGAGCAGGATGACGAGGACGAGGAGGCGTAGGAAGAGCAGGAGGCACGGAATTCATACCCCCATGATCGTAATCCTCTGGTCCGCCCTACCCCATCGGGTCCCCCCAAAGCCTCGTCGCATCCCCTTGACTCTCGTCTTGCCCCTCTTCCTGCATGGTCCTCCATCCTGCCGGTCGATCCTTCTCATGCCTAAGCATCCTCGCCCTCCTGCTGAGACACCACTGGCGGACATGCACACTCCACGATGCAGAAACGAACCACGCGCATATTATCTGGCCGTGCATGGTTATCACGTGTTTGCCTTATCCTCTTTCTCCTCCTCCTCCTCCTCCTCCTCCTCCTCCTGTTCCTCTCTCCTGCTGCTGTTCCTCCTCTCTCCGGCTGCCCAGCGACTCTGCTTCTCCTCATCTCTGCTCGATGCTTCCAATCCCCATGCCCTTTGCAGTTTGACGCTAATCGGTTGACAACGCCCCTTAGAACAACTGAGCACAATCACGGTGCCGGGGCAGCACCAGGAGTGCACACAGCTCGAGCATGCGCGCCGCGCGAGGCACTGCTTGTTTTCGCCCCCCGCGGCGCTGACGAGCTGCCTGGACGCCACGGCGGGCGGCGCGCGAGCGCGCCGCCAGGCCGGAGGGCACCCAGCCCATGGTCTGTCTGTTGTGCTCCTCGGCGGCCACGGCCACGACCACAACGACGACGAGGACGACGACGCCGACAACCACGACCACGACGACGACGCCGACCACAACGACGACGACGACGCTGACGACTACAACGGCCACGACCACGACCACGACAACGACGACGACGGCGACGACGACGACGACGGCCACGACCACAACCACGACGACAGCCACCACCAAGTCCTCCGTGAGTGGAGGACTGTCAAATGATAAATGCAGTCCGAGCAGATGGGGTCAGCGATGCATCGGCTCCGTCGGCGTCCAGAAGATCGGGCCGCACATCGAGCCGCATCGACGATGCGGCGCGATCCTCCGACACCATCCGCTTAAACCCCATCTGGGAGGCCTGGGGCGAGCCTGTCTCGGGCACCGGGGTATCCAAAACGATTCTGGGTGATAGACCAACCCAAAGAGGACGCCGAGCCCATTGAGGAGCACGTGATGAATAGATCGAGGGCTGACCCGAACATCGTTTGCGTACATGTGTTCCCGAACCGTTTGCGAACCGTTTGTTTTGAACACTTCTGCTCCCCCTCAGCCGAGCGGCCTTGGACGACGCCCTTGGGGGCCTTAGAGTTCGCCAACAGATGGTTCCGAACCGTTGATGAACAGCTTACGAACGTCCCACACCACATGACCGATTCTGGTAACCCTGAACCCAAAACGTTTTCATCTCTTGGGAGGTCGGCTTTTACTTCCGCCGGCTTCCGCCGAGCTTCTGCCGAGCTTCCACCACCTTCCGCTGGCGGAGGCGGCCTCGTTTTACTTCCGCCTGTTTCCGCCGCCCTTCTGCCACCCTCTGGCGAGAAAGGGATGGCAACTCCTTTGATCCTCGAAGGCAGGGCTTTGTTTGGAACGCCTCACATGATTGCTCACCCTTCCGAAACGCATGATAGGGCACGCCCAGACTCGTTCACGACTTCGCAGGCCAGCGGAGGCAGGGAAACCAAAAGGTACCTAATACCGCTACTCCTCGGACCTCTCCCGGGGTGCGTTCTGACCAGAATTCCATGGCGAACGCAGCGGCGACGAGGACCTCCCAGGAGGCCCGAAAGGGAGAAAAGGGACGAAGGGTAGAGGTATGGATACGTTTCCCCCCCCTCCGAGGAGGAGAGCAGCCGCCGGGGGGGGCGGAGGGCTGGCCAGGTTCCTTGTGGACGTCCTCGGGTGCAGCTGGGCCTCCAGGAGGCCTCCGTGGACCTTTCTTGCGGGATCCTCCGGGGAAGGCGTGCCGCCCGATCGCAGGGGGGCGCAGGTCTCGCGCACCGAGGCGGTGCGACGGCCCTGCCCTCGCAGTTCCTCCCGTGCGTGGGGTGCGTGGAGCTGAGCAGAGCGCTGCTGCGTGCTCCCTCCCGGACCGACTGCCTGCCAGACCACCCCAGCCCAACCCGAAGACCCGAGTCTCGCCCGAAGTTCGGACTGGGGGGGAGGGGGCGGGCTTCATACGTGGTTTTTCCATGTTCCCCGAGACCCCCCGGCACCAGACACGGAGGGCAAACCGGGGCCTTCGGGTTGGGTTGGTTGGTGGGCGGTGGCAGGCCCTCCTCTCCCCTCGCCTCCGTCGCTCTGCCGCCTCCGTCCTGCCTAAAACTACCTCCTGCCGCCTCCCTCCCCCCTGCCCGCGGCCTCCTGCCCGCATCCCCCCTCTCACAGTTGCCTGCCTCCCGCGGGGCCTCCTGCCCCGTCCCCTTGTGGAGGCTGCCAACAGCGCAACTGTCGCCGCTGTCGCGAGCTCTTGGGAGGCCCAGCGGAACAGCGCATCAAAACCGTCCGAACTGCAATTCCGTGAGTTCTTGGGAGGTCCTGCCGAGCCACGCCTGGTAGCCATACAAACTAGACGTCGCTTCCCTGGCTCCCAACATTGAGATCGTCGCCGCTTCCGTGATTTTCTCGGAGGTCCAGCGAAGCGACTCTTAATAGAGTCCAAACTAGATCTCGCCTCCCTGGGAGCTTCTCAATGCGATACTGTCTCAACCTTCGAGAGGCGTATTCAATAAGCGTCCAGGCTAGACCCCGCCTCCCTGGGATATATTTCAAAAAGGGACTGTCGCCACCTATGTGATCTGGTTGGAGGTCCACCAGGGTCTCGCCTCCCTGGGGACTGCTAAGTGAGCGTCTGTCGTCATCGAGAGCTTGTGGGATGTCCAGCGGGGTGCAGCGCTAATGGGGTCCAAACCAGGAGTCGCATCCCTGGGTGCTGCCAACTGCGTAGCTGTCACAACTTTCATGAGCACAATGGAGGTCCAGCGGAGGGCGGCCTTACAGGGAATCAACATTGACCTCGCCCTCGCTGGATGGTGCCAACTGGATCACTGTCGACACCTTCGTGAGCTTGCGGGTGGTCCAGCAGAGTGCGGTGCTCAGGGGATCCAAGCTAAACCTCGTGTCACTGCGGGCTGCCAATTGCGACGCAGCCGCCACTTTCACGAGTTCCTCGAAGCCCTCTTGCCGATGCCTGAAAATTATCCCACAGAAGTTATGGCCCCGATGATAACTACGTGTCGGCGCGCCCATGCACGCCACCTGCCGTGTGCAGCCGGTGAGACATCGAAGTAATGGTCGAAATCTGTTCGTCGATCGCCTCCCCCAAAGTGATCACTGTGACGGCTTGACCAAACTGCGTGGTGCCACCGTCCGGCAAAACAAAACAATTGAAGGAGACCCCGTGCGGGCATCTCCCTTCGCAGTGAACTGCATTGGCATTGGATCTGTTTGCTCACTCTCACTCTCTCTCATCCTTTCCCCCTCCCTCTCCCTCCCTCGCCCTCCCGCTCGCCCTCCGTCCTTCCCGCTCCCCAGACCCCCGACGTCATGACTTGTTCACGACGTCAAACCCCCAGAGGTCTCTCGACCCAGTCCCCGGTAATTGCCGGTCTTGGCTCCCGTGCCGTTTTTTTGTTGAGACGGCCACGGCCCGAGGCCCAGTGATGCCCCCCAGAAGCCGAAAATGATTAGCCAGAAACCTCCCGTCGTGATTTTCGGTCCCTGGGGGCCCTCGCCGGGCCCCGGGACTGCCAAAAGACGACTCAGGATGAGAAACCGGCCCCGGGGAAAGGGTCTGGACTTCCGGGGACGCCGTCCTGAGAAAATCAGGACGTCGCATGTCTGGGGCACCCTGCCTCCGTCCATCCCCCCTCCTTCCCCCTCACCTCCGCGTGCCCCGCCTCCCTCTCGTCCCGCTGCCGCTCCTCCCTCCCGGGGGCGCGGCACCTCGGACTGAAGTTCGGTCTTGGCCGCCTTGGACTCCTAAGCGCTCCTCCTCCTCCTTCTTCTCCGTAGCCATTTTGGCTCAAGGTTGATGCTTTGGGGGCTGCAAGCCCCGAGGCAAAACTAGAGACCGCTGGTCCGCGGACATACCCAGATTTTTTGTGCAACCTCGTCTAGGCTGCGCGCTGGACGTAGGCGAAGAGAAGTTTTTGTGAGCTCCTGCAGGAGCACCCTCTCAGCCTTGTGCCCATCATGGCATTGGGCGAAGGGGGGCAAAGGCAAGCAGTGGCCAGGGCAGAAGGGTGGGCGACGCCGCGGAGCCTACTCAGTCTGCTCGAAATGCGGCCACTGGGAGTACGACCACTTCGGCAACTGGACGTGCAGCGTCTGCGGCGGCAGCTACCTTGGCGATGCTGCCCATGTTCCTCATGTTGCTGATGCTGGAGTGCCTGATCAATTCGCGGCTGACTTGCAGGCGTTGGCGGCGAAGTACCCAACCATGGCGGCCGCCCTTGGACAGCTCCAGGGCGCGGCCCCACCACCTGCGCCTGAAGCTCGCGAGCCTGCTTCTGCCAATGACATCGAGAAGCAGATCCAGGCCCACCGTACGGAGCTGTCCCGTGCGGTTGAGAAGGCGAGCAGGAAGGAGCGGGTGGCCCAATCTGACGTTCAGCAGCGTCATGAGGCTGTCGTTCGGCATCGTGAGGCGTTGGCCAAGGCTGAGCGTCTGCACGCGGAGTCCCAGCAGTGGCACGCCGAGGCCGCCGAGGCTCTTCGCGAGGCCAACGCCCAGAAGGACGGCTTCAACGAAGTCCAATACCGTGAGCAGCTCCGTGCCAAGGAGCGCGAGGAGGTGGCAGCTGCTGCCCGTGCTGCGCAGGCCGCTCATGACGAGGCGGCGCGGCAGGCGGGCGGAGGGGCACCCGGTGTGGCTGGCGGGGCCCCTGCGGCAGGCGCCCCCGGAGGTGGCCCGCCACCAGGCGGTGCAGCTCATCAGGCCGCCCCTGGTGCTGTTGCGCCGCCTCCTGGAGTCACAGCTTTGGGCAATGTGGACTTCCAGTGGGTTCAGGACCACCTTCATGAACTCTCTGAGCCTGATCTTCAGCGTTTCCATGGGCGCTCGCATCTGTCTCCAGAGCAGTGGGTCGAGATGCGCAAGGTTGCCCTCCAGCAGCGCGCCGCCGAGCTGGAGATCGACATGGCCTCGGAGGCGGCCAGCGAAGCTGGGGATCCTGATCTTCCTGGTGATGAGACTTCTGAGCTGCGTGACCTCCGCAAGCGCGCAGCCGATACAGGCTTGGACCCGCAGGCCGCGGAGCGGTATGGAGTACTGCTCTCGAAGGTCGCGGTGGCTCGAGCCGCCAAGCGTGCCAAGAAAGCGGTGCGCGAGCAGTCTAATCACACATTCGTCGCCTTCTGCCAGGCGGCGGCCTCCCAGCTGCAGGCTGTTCCTCAACCAGCTGCAGGGGGTGGAGCCCCAGCGCAGCGTTTTTAGCCCGCCTCCGTCGCGCCCCCTGCCGATGAGGCGGCGCGACAAAGGTGCAGGCCTGGAGATTCGATTCTGCAATGTTACAAGCTGGTCTGATCTCACGAAGGGCTTTCTCTCTACCAGTACCTCAGCCATGGACGCCATGTTCATTGCTGAACATCACCTTCGCCCCGAAGGTGTCGTCAAGGCCAAGAAGGATTCAAGAGCGATGGGTTGGAATCCATTTGTTCAAGCAGCCATCGATTCCCCAGGAGGTGGGACTCACGGGGGAGCGGCAGCGTTCTGT